CCTGCTGATGATGATGAGGAGGAGGCGGAGGCGGAGGAGGAGAAGGGAGGAGCAGGAGTAGATGGAAGGAGGAGGAGCTGAAACCCAAGACTCATCAACGACATTGTAATCAGCCCTCCCTCCAAGTCAAAATTTCATTGGTTCCTACAGGGGTTTCTTTTCACTGAGGGAGGTGCTTCGTTGAGAGACACCCGTTTGATGATCTGGAACTGTGCCAGAGGATTTAACGTTGCGCCGCGAATCAACTTTATTGTCGCGTCCTGAACGACCCTGACTTTTGCAAGAACACATTTCCTGGGACTTCAAGTCCGCGAATCCACGCCACTGTTGCGCCCTGATTGTCCTACATCGTGCCAGAACACCACCTCTGGGATGGTCGCCATGAGTGTCCTTGAACCTGCTGTAAACTCCTGAGACCAGTTGCGCGGCGCTAAGGCGAGAGCTGCGTTCTGAACAAGGGACACCCTCCATCCGCGAAGCTCCTGCAAACTTTTACGGCGACTGTGCGCGGCGCTCAGGCGAGAGCCACACTTTGAAACCGATCCGCCTTCCAACCGTGACATCCCTGCACACTTTTGAGACGAATGTGCGCGGCGCTCGGGCGGGAGCCACATCTTGAAAACGACCTGCCCTCCGCCCGTGAAGCCCTCGCAAACTGTTCAGGCCAATCTGTGCGGCGCTGTGGCGAGAACCGCGCTGTGAGAGTGGCCCGCCTCCACCCGTGAAACTCTTGCAATGTGTTAGGACGCCTGTGCGCGGCGCGAAGGCGAGAGCCACATTCTGAAAACCACCCGCCCTCCATCCGTGAAGCTGTTGCAACTTTCACGCTTCACGGTCGTAAGTGGTGAGGGAGTCTCAGGCGAAAAGCCCGGACCGCCCTGCCGACACGTCTCGGGGTGCGACCGGAAGGAGTTATTCATAAGGAAAACGGATGGACGAGGAGGAGGAGGAGGAGGAGGAGGAGGAGGAGGAGGAGGAGGAGGAGAATGAGGTCAGGAGGAGGGGGAAAGGGAGGAGTGAGGAGGGAGGCAGGAGGAGGAGGAGGAAGATGTGGGACGAGGGTGCCGTCGAGGCGCTGGGAGTCCCCGTCGCTCTTCTGCCTGACGCTGGCGAGACCGGGGGCCGAGATGGACATCGTGCGCGCCGCGTTGTCCGAGACTGCCGGCCAGGGGGGGGGCTTCTCGGTTCCGTTTTAGTCTTTCCTCCTCCTCCTGCTCTTCCTCCTCCTCCTCCTCCACCTCCTCCTCCTCCTCCTCTCAATCTTCCAAGTCCTCCTTTCCCTCCGTCTCCTCCTCCTCCTCCTCCTCCTGCTCCTCCTCCTCCTCCTCCACCTTCTCCTCCTCCTCCTCCTCCTCCTCCTTCTCCTCTTCCTCCTCCTCCTCCTCCTCCTCTCAATCTTCCAACTCCTCCTTTCCCTCGGTCTCCACCTCCTCGTCCTCCTCGTCCTCCTCCTCCTCCGTCTCCGTCTCCGTCTCCGTCTCCCTCACCACGGCCACGAGGTGACCGAGGGACGGCCGGCTGACCTTCAAAAAATCCTGTGGGGGAGGAGGGACGACGACAGACGGCGAGGGAAGGGCGCCACTGGGAGGACGCCGGGGGCTCGGAGGAGGCGGGGGGGCAGGAGGGAGGGGGAGGAGAGGGACGAGGGGGAAGGAGGGAGAGGGACGGGGGGAGGGGACGTGGAGGAACCGTGCCAGAATCCTCAGACACCCAGATGCGGGGGGGGGAGGGGAGACCGGGAGGGCGGAGGAGGCGGGGGAGGAGGGCACCTCTCGGTGACAAAAACCACGCCGTACCCACCCATTACCCTCCCTCTCTCCCTCTGCCTCGCCGCACATTCCCCTCCTGTGGAGCAACAGGGGACGCTGGAACACACTCCTCCCTATTTCCCCACCCTCCCAAGGCCCCGCACAAGAATGAGCAAAACAAATTATGCAACACCGATATGTGACGGCTCTGAGACAAGAGAGCGCGAAGTCCTGAGCGGCAGCGCCGCGAATTCCCGCTCCATGCATGGCCCAGTGCGCGGTACGTAGTCCCGCCCCCGTCGGGCCCTACATCCGGGGGCGGACAGGAATACACCCGTCGTCGAAAGCGGCCCTTGTCACTCATGCCCTGCCCCGTCGGGCCCTGTATCCGGGGCGGGCTGGGATTCACTCCTCTTCTCGGGCAGAAGCCTACTGGCCCCCTGCCCCCGCCGCAGGCGGCGCCACCCCGCCTGCCCCGCCGGCGGCGGCGCCGGCGGCGGCGCCGGCGGCGGCGCCGGCGGCCGCCGCGGCCACCGCCGGCGGCGCTCCGAAACCTCCCGCCCCGCCTGCGGCCGCTGCTCCCGGGGCCGCCGGTGCAGCCGCGGCTCCCGCCGCCTGGTCCTTCTTGGCGCCCTTGGCGCTCCGCCCCTTGGCACCCTTGCCACCGCCCTTGGCGCCCCGCCCCTTGGCACCCTTGCTTTCCCCGTTCTTGGCGCCCTTGCCAACGCCCTGGATCACGCCCTTGGCGCCCTTGCCACCGCCCTTGCCGCCAAGGCCAGATCGGTGCCCGCCCACCACCCACCCTCCCGCTTCCCCAGCAACCCGCGACAAAGACTTCCCGCCTACACTAAGCAGAAACTCTACCCGGCCCCTGCCGGGCGTCGTCGGATGGCTCCAACAAGCCTGATCGCTGCCTTGGCCTTCGCGTGCAGCCCCCTCGCCTTTCCCACAGCCTTGGCCTTGGCGGCCTTGGCAGGCGGGGCTGCTGGCATCTTCCCCATCGCCCGTGGTTTGGGCACAGGTTTGGCCACCGCTTTCGCTTTCGCAGCCCCCGGGGGCGGTAGCGGGGGCGGAGCCGGCGCCACCGCCGCCGCGGCCGCCACTTTCTTAGCCTTTGCCTTCGCAGCAGTGTCCCAGTGTCCCCCTTGCACAATTTCTCGTGGTTGCCCAAGGGACGGCACAACATGCCAGGAGGAGGCGGCGGGTATACTAGCCCACACTTGGCACAAGTGCGATTCGATTCAATAGCTCACTCCCCCTGCACTTGGCTTCATGTGCTTTGCGGCAGTGAACAAAAGCGAGACATTTACGGCACTTAGACATTCCAGCCGGTATAGCGAAACCAGCAACGTTGCACCTCATGAGGTGCCCGTACAAATCCTTACTAAGTACCTTAAGACCGCATTTTTTGCAGTAGTCCACATCCTTCCAATGGAGATCGCACGCTGCAGGGGGAGATGCCATCCACCGAGCCGAATGTGTGGACGCATACCCCCGCCTCCCTAGGTCCGCCGCCCTGTCCGCAAGTTCGTTGTCGTGAGCGCCAGTATGTCCATTCACGTGTTCCCATGTGATCGTACGATTTGCGCTCACACGTTCCGTGAGGTCGCGGACCGCATCCGCAAGCTCTTCATTGGACTTCGCCTCCCACAGGCCCCGGGCCATATTTGCAGCGTACTCGGAATCATAACGAATGTGGACGGGAACACGCCCTCCATCCTGGGCCTCCTCCAGAAGGCAGTGCATGGGCTCACCTAGCGCCGATAACTCTGCAGTGTTGTTTGTCTGGCTACGGGCACCAATCCATCTGTGATCCCACGCGCGACTCACCACCGTGGCGTGGAGGACGTAATCCGGCACCATCCCTGGAAGACTCGGGTCCGTGACTCTCCAGAGAACGACTCCCCAACCCGCCTCTCCGTCCTTGCCGGACCCATCTGTCGCCGCCCACCAGTCGGTCGGCTCCGGTGCGTGCGGGCCCATTACTACGGGAAAGAAGACACCCGACTGCGTCTGAAGGGCGTCGCGAAGCTCTAACCGGGCCGGGCAGGAAGGCTTATGCTTACGTACGTCACACCCCAAGTACTCTTACAATCAGGGCACTGGCGGGAAATACTCGTAACCAGGTGAGGGTCGCGGATCGAGTGCGCTTCATCGTAATGATACTGTAGCTGGTTGCCCCTATCAAATACCCGCCGGCACACAGGACAGCAGTACTCGTCGTCGTCCGCCCCCGGGGGGGAGGGAGGGGCCGGGGGAGGAGGCGGAGGAAAAGGGGGAGGGGAAGGAGGAGGCGGCGGAGGGCCCCTGGGGGCCCCCGGGCCCCGGGAAGAAGAGGAGGAGGAGGAGGAGGAGGGAGGGGGCGGCGACGGGAGAGCCCAACCCAGCCTCCATCTATTCAGGGCTCGGTAGTGTTCAGCGCTAGCAACGGGACCAGGGAACGCCGCGTCGACTTTACGCTTCCAGCCTTTCCGGTTCTGTGTCCGGCGGAACCAATCGATCTCGTGGATCTCGATCTTGCGAATACCACGACGCAAGAAGGCGGACTGGGCGTGGGGGCTGGTGTGGTTCTCGCCGCCGCGTCGGGCGTCGAGCCAACCGAGCAGAACCTGTTTGGGGACCCTCCACACGGGCATGCGGGCGACGTGACCCAGCCACTGGAGGGAGAGGCGGGTGATGGTGTCCTCCACCGTGCGCCATTGAGCAGCTTTGTACATTGCGGAATCAGATATGTGATGCTCACGCATCGACAATATATCCATACCAAAGGATCAGTGGACCCCATAATTAACCACTCGCTGAAGACGTGCAAAGTCCTGCCGGGTCCACGTGCGCGACCGACACCCGGCTGTAATGGCCGCCACCATACAGGTCTGCATCACGCGAAAACGTGTCGTAATCGAGACGCCACTACCACGGCCGCGCCCATGGGGCGTGCCCACCGCCCACGCTTTAGCTATGGATCGCGCCAGGGTGTTCCCGACCTGCACACGTTTAGCGGTGTCCGCCGCCCACCGGCCCGTCTCGTGATGGATGCCGCCCAAGTGGCGCAGGGACGATACTTCGTGTTGTCACCGCACATCGCACATCATACGCCGCCCGCCAGTGACCGCTCACCAACAGCCGCTCCTTCTTGCTAGTGTTACTTTTCTCCTCCCAATCCGTCATGGTTTGTTCCAAAAGCGGTTCGGCTGTCTTCATTTCGCCGATGAAACCTGCCAGTGTCGTGTCGTCACCAAACCCAATATCCCCGATCACCGTATGTTTCTGTCGGTTGGCCCAGCCTCCTTCCCCTCGGCCCTGTCCCCGTGTCCGGGCGTTCTTCCCGAGACGCCCGTCTATGATGTACGACCAGGGTAATCCCGGCGTCGCCCCTGTCTCCTCCGCCGTGCGCTTGCGGCGGCCACGAGAATCTTTAAGGACAGCGTCATGGAAAATGTTAAACAAGGGGGGGCTCGAGGGGCACCCCTCCCTCAGCCCCCGCAAGGGGAACCAGGTGGAGGAGAGGCCGCCTAGCACTCGGACGCGATACCCGGTCTGCTCGTGCAAGACTTTGCATACGCGCACAAAGCCAGGGGGACACCCCCGACGTTCCAGAAGCCGCCAAAGCGCGGGGCGACAAACCCGCGGGTATGCCTTTTCTATATCGAAAAAGGTAAACACCACTATGTCCCCGGTCCTAAGCGCCGCCGCTTCCTCAATCAAGCGGCGAGCAACCTGCAGGGCGTCGTCGGTGCCCCGCCCCCCGGCGGAAACCCGACTGTTCTTCCCCCAGAAAGCCCTCGGACCACTGGGAGAGACGCGACGCAACGACTCTGGCCAGAAGCTTTGATCCAACTGACAGAAGAGTAATTCCGCGCCACGTATTTTCATCCTTCCGATTTCCCTTTTGCTTCCACAACGGAACTACAATACCCACCTGCCATTCTTCCGGCCGGGACACATCCTCCTCCCCGGGGGCGGCTTGCATGGCTTGGGACCACATAGTGCGCACTATCGCAAAGACGCGACTGCGCATTGCTGGTCCCCTAAATTTGAGGGACTCAGCCACAAAACCATCCTCGCCCGGTTGACGTCCAGTTTGCATTTTGCGCACACACGCATCTAGCTCTAAGTCGGGGGGAGGGGACTCAAGCCAGGCCGCCGAGGGTGGGACCTCTGGAACACTCCTCCACACGTGCTCTGGCACTATCCCGACATCGCCAGAGATGGCCGCAAAATGGGCTTTCCACAGTTCTCTCTCGTGCTCCACCCGCTCGGCAGACCACCGTCCAGCGACCCCCCAGTCCCCCCGGCGGAGGCGCAGATCCCAGAAAAGACGGAACAGCTCCCCCTGATCGCCGCTGTGGGAGGCCACAGACGCGCGTTCGCCGACCCCCCTCCTGTAGCTCCGCTCCCAATGCCAGAGTTGCCTCC